AATGATGCACTGTAGGATAGCTCCCGGAGGCCAATACCATCGAATTGCGGCCACACTATCCCTAATTCGAAATGTTAAAATCGATTTTGGCGCTACTCCGCTCGTCGGGGTGGAGTACAGAAATCGATTTAAAGGGCCCTTTACATCGAAATAAATAGCGTCGTTGTGTGGACGGTTGCAGGGTAAATTCGAATTAAAGCTGATAAATCCAAATTAAAGTCGTAGAGTAGACCAGGCCTTACACTACAGCCTCTCTCCTGCAACTACCAAGCTTTCCCTTCCTCTGACCTCTTCTCTTTCTTTAGTATTGCATCTCTGTTTATCTGTCTGACATCTCCTCCTGGATGGACTACTGCTAACTAAAACTTGACAGAATTTTTCAACTATTTATTTCTATAGGAACTTTACAGGTTTACAGATCCATGCCATATAAATATCAGAAACAAAACAATAATCATTACAACGGTGAGCTTTTGCTTTTAGAGAAACATGATACAGTAATATAGTCATCCCTATTTAACACCGTTACCCTATTACAGAGTGAGCATTTTTACGTTGCAGGAGCATGCACAGGAATAAAAATTTGGCCACTTTTTGGAGGGACACTTTCTGTGCTCCACATGGCTGGAGAAGCTTCCCTCCCACCCCCCCATGGCCGGAGGAGCTGGTTGCCCTGGAGCCGATGGAGCTCGCTCTCCTGGCCCCGGAAATGTTCTGTGCCCATGCTGATTGGGGGGTAGGCATGCCCCTGCTTGCTCCCCTTTCCATATGCCCCTTCCATGACATGTCATTTCTAGCGACTGTATTAAATTGAGTGAAATCTCTGATTACACATTTAACAAACCAGGCATGTATATCAAATATCAATATTAAAAGTATTGGACAGGTGTACTAGGATTTTTTTGGTGAATATACTTTGAGTATTGAATAAATAGTAACCAAATGTCTAAGCATCTTTTTGTTGTCTAGAACTGGATAGTAATGTTAATTCCTCATCTTTCTTCCTTCCTTTCCTTCTTTCTGCCTACTCAGTTGCTGTCAGTAATTCTGCTACCCTCCTTGTCAACCACGCTTGTAACTTTAGTGTCATATTTGACTCTTCCCTCCATCCAGGCTCTCAGCAAATAATGTCACTTCTTCAGAAAAAAAAATCATAATGTTGGGAAATGTACAGATGTTTGACAGAATTTTCCAAACATCCATAGAGCTCATTGAAACATTGGGGGGGAAATTGTGAAAAATTTTAACTGATAAAAATTTCCTTATTTTGTTGGGAATTTTTTTTTCATTTAAACTTTTCTGACCAGTTCTTTTTCTTACCTCTCTCAATCTGGTCTTTGCTCTCCAGTCTTACTGCTTAAAACCTTTTCTGTTGCTTGTCCATCTCTCACATAGGCTGCAGAAATCTCTTCTGCTTTCTGACTTCATTACTTACAATCTATGCAAAATGTGTTTACAAAAATAATCTCTTCCACTGCTTGGACCATATCATTTCCTTGTATACAACCCTTCACTGGCCTTTGCTTTCAAGGCTCTGCACAAGCCTGCTTGTACCTACATCTCTGCTCACATTTATTCCTACTTTCCACTTGGTTATGCAAAAACTGCTCTCCTTTAGTTTTCTTCTTCACTGTAAACTCCAGTTCAGGAAAGCATCCCTAATCAGGAGAGCATTTATGTAGGTGCTTACATGGGATTTAGCGTCTTCATGAGGGTTTTCCTGAATCCTATCAAGTATCAGAGGGGTAGCCGTGTTAGTCTGAATCTGTAAAAAGCAACAGAGGGTCCTGTGGCACCTTTAAGACTAACAGAAGTATTGGGAGCATAAGCTTTCGTGGGTAAGAACCTCACTTCTTCAGATGCAAGACATGCATCTGAAGAAGTGAGGTTCTTACCCACGAAAGCTTATGCTCCCAATACTTCTGTTAGTCTCAAAGGTGCCACAAGACCCTCTGTTGCTTTAGGCAATTAGGTGTTAAAGTAAAAAAAGTTGTATTGAAGCAGGTAGGCTGTGCATGGCCTATTTCTTGATCTTCTATAAATTAAAGTGTTAGTCCCTGAAGGACATCTTGTTAAGGAAGTTTATGTTGTCTGCTGGTACCAGAAGAGGTAGAAGCCAATTATTGTTAGAAATCTTCTTGATGAACCTCAGTAACAGACCTGTCAGACAGGAAAGAGCAATAGCTTCAGATGAGGCCATTTTAACACAGTTTTGTAGCTAACAAATATCTGGTAGTCAGGAGAAAACACTATATCCACATATGGATAAGGGGATTCTATTGAGCATGCTCAGTGAAATCCCTAGATGTCACTTAAATATCTGATTGCCTGTCCAACCATTATATGGCCAGATCTGAAGCTGCCCTGGAGAGAGATGTGGTATAGAATGCTTAATAGGACATTCTTTTGCTGCTGAAAATATTACTCTAGGGGGAAAAAACTAATAGACCTCTGTATCTAGTCTTGCAAAACTTCCATAGGTCTGTGCCCACTTGGGGTTTGAGCCAAAGTGGCTAACTTCTTAACCTTAGTTCATCATTATTATTGTACAGTAGTTATTGATTGTGCAATTTACTTTAAAAAAAAGTCTTATTTATCTTATTTTCTTGTGATGCTAGTTTTAAAAAAATAGTTCTTTAGTTATTTTTGTCCACAGAGTGTAACTGGTGTATCCCCAATTCAGATTGGTCATTTAGTCACAATTTCTGAGGGCATGTCTGCATTTTACCTTGATGGTTTTATACATCAAATATGTGCAGTGTAAGCATAATTGCATTAAACATTTTATTAATATTCCCTCATGTATAATTTTAGAATTACTTAAACAAAAAGGACAAGTAACTAGCTAAAGATGAGTGCTGTTCTTTAGACAGGTGTTAATGTAATTAGGAGGAGAAAATCATTATTCAAAGTTGCTTGTAAGTTTCTTTCTGCATTTTGGGGTATTTTTCTGCTTTGTTTGTTGAACTGGGGTGGGGGTTGTGGGTGGGTTGAAATTTCAGTTTTTGAGGTTGATTATTTATTTTTTCCCCTTTTACCACATTGCTACCTATTTAAAGAAAGTATAAAATTGCACAAAGACAGGTGGGATGGCCGTGAAGAACAAGGCTGTTCTGCCAAACTCAGGCAGTCTGGCTTACCCTTTAGGTCTAAGTTTTAACTAGAGAGAGCAAAAGACAGCACTCATGAAAAGGTTACTTTAGATTTGGCACAAAAAAGGGAAATGTCTCTGGAATTCTTTTTGTCCTGCATGTTTCATTAAATGTCCTCCCTCAAGGGAAAAAAGCCACTGTATCTGAAAGCTTTTCCTTTAGCTGGCTGTTTAGCTATTAATCCTTTTGTGTTTGCCAGCTCAGTAATGCACAGTACTTATTCTAGTTTCGCTCCTTCCCCAGTTTTTCCTTCCACTAAGGACCAACTGCCTTTTTTGTCTAATGCTGTACCTTTTGTCAGAATAGAGATCACTACCATTTGATAGGAGTTTGGGTCAGAAAAAGGTGAAGTTTGCATGAAGCTTGTGAGCACACTTTCTCTGAGAAGACTATGTGTGCTGCATATCACTTATTGAAATTTAACTGTTTTCTGGGGCGGGGGGGATCAGTTTTTATTTTAAATGTATTTTCTCTTGTCATTTGGCATTTTATGGCTCCTCCTTTGCCCCATTTGCTATGGGCTTTTCTATATGAAGCAGTTCAAAACTAATGAATGACCATTTCGTTTCTTTGAGCTGTACTTTATTTTTCTAGTTGCTTCCTACAGCAGTTTTTTATGCTGTTCATTTATATTTCTCTTTTTAGAATAAAAATTGCAAATATTTAAACTTCATTTTCAATAGAAGTCTTTTGCAATATTACCAACAAGCAGGATTAATCTTTCTACATTCAGATTTTTTCTTTTACTTCATGTATTTTTGGTGTTCAGCTTTTAAACTAGTTTAAACTTCAAGCTGTTCTTGTTTTTTTTCTGTGAACAATAGGTGCTGCTTTCATGTTCCCATGTATTTCACAGAGTGAGTAGACCCTGTTTTAACTATTAAAGCATGCAATACAGCATTCTTGTAATTTAAATAGTCTAAATCTACTGTAAGCACAATTTCTGGTTTTGCAAGAAGACATTTTGACTCAATATCATTTACTGTTAGAAACATAATTTACAGATATTATTATTCCTGTTTTACAATGTTACATTTTGCATACAAGGGAAACCCACATATGTTTGTATACGGATTACTAAGTATGTACATCGAAGTGACAGATAGCTTAATTCATAATATTTGACTCCATGTAAGTCTAAAAAGATTTATCATCCATTTTCTTATTTCCAGTAGTTTGATATAAATGTATATTCTTGTAAATATATGCTATTTTGAATTCATGAAAGTGATTACTTACATTTTAAAATGATAATATTTTTCTAGGCATGCCTGAAAGCTTTTGAAAAGTTTGCAGGTAAAAAGACCTGTCCTTTGTGTAGAAAGAAGCAGTATCAGACCAGAGTAATACATGATGGGGCGCGTCTGTTTAAAATAAAGTGTATTACGAGGTAAGGATTACTTCCAATAGAGCTGTTGTTGCTGAACATTTATTTTGCTGTATTGCTCCAAGTTACATCCTGAAAATTCAGCACTGGTGGATGCACAGTAAATATTTAAGTGTTTGAAAATTTTCAAATGGTTATGTTTTAGGTAATTATTTTGTTCTCTTTAAATTTATGTTTGCATTTGTTGAACATCGACATTTTCCTTTCAACAGAATCCAAGCTTGCTGGAGAGGGTATATTGTTAGAAAATGGTATAAAAATTTGAGAAAAACAGTACCTCCGCAAGATAGCAAATTAAGAAAAAAATTCTTTGAAGCAAAGGTACGTTGCATTGTTTCTTCAGTCTCAGTTAATGTTCTATTCTTTCCTAGCCTTCCATTTAATCAAACATTCTCAAAGCCTCAGTCAGTCCCTTTCTAGGTGCAAAGAGTGACAAACACTCTAATATAGATTAGGGCTGTATTTTACATAAGGCCTAACCCAGAGGTGGGCAAACTTTTTGTCCTGAGGGCCACCTCTGGGTATGAAAATTGTATGGCAGGCGAGGAATGCTCACAAAATTGGGGGTTGAGGTGCGGGAGGGAGTGAGGGCTCTGGCTGTGGGTCCGGGCTCTGGGGTGGGGCCAGAAATGAGTTCAAGGTGCGGGAGGGAGCCCCAGGCTGGGGCAGGGGGCTGGGGTGCGGGTGGTGATGGCGATGGCTGGGGGTGCGAGCTCTGGGATGGGGCTGAGAAAGAGGGGTTGGGGTGTAGGAGGGTACTCTAGGCTGGGACAGAGGGGTTCAGAGGGCAGGAGGGGGATCAGGGCTGAGGCAGGGGGTTGGGGTGCAGGCTCCGGGCGGCCCTTACCTCAAGCAGCTCCTGGAAGCAGCGGCATGTCCCCCCCCTCTGGCTCCTACGTGGTGGCGCAGCCAGGTGGATCTGCGTGCTGCCCCGTCCGCATGTGCTGCCCCTGCAGCTTCCATTGGCCGTCGTTCCTGGCCTCTGGGAGCTGCAGGGGCAGCACTTGGGGCAGGGACAGTGTGTGGAGCCTCCTGGCTGCCCCTACGCATAGGAGCTGGGGGGGAACATGCTGCTGCTTCTGGGAGCCACGGCACACATGGAGCAGGGCATGCCCCAGACCTCGCTCTCCAGCAGGAGCTCTAGGGCCGGATTAAAACATCTGAAGGGCGGATGCAACCCCCGGGCCGTAGTTTGCCCACCCCTGGCCTAACCTGTGCTTACCCCAGTAACAGTATTTCTTTTCTTTTTGTTTTGGATTTTTCTTTCCCTTTTTCATAAATCCCAGGAATCTGTTTTTCCTGTAGAAGTACACATTAAGCAGATATGGTAGTAAAAGAAATGAATCGTAGATTTCGTTATTAGTCATTGGTCTTTCATAACTACTCCAAAACTTGGACTGGATGGTCCAGTTCCAGAACACTCTTACACATCCTCCAAATTCAGCTCAGAAGTGAGAACATAATCACTTTGGGGCTCTCTCCCTATAGAACAAGAAGTAGAAATGAGGCCAGTTCTTCGAGTAGTGTCTCTATGGAGGCTCCACTTCCATGGTGTGCATGCTTCTTTGATTGGAAATTTTTGGCATCAGTGCCCGTTTGGCGTGTGCATACACCCTAGCTATCTTCGTGCCTCGTACTGAGAGTATATCGGACTGTGATGGACAAATTTTCCTCAGTTCCTTCTCAACCATCTTGCCCTGAGAAGGAGCATCCTCAGCATTCGCTTGCGATTTTACTTGTTAACTAGGTTTTTTTAGTCAGTTTTATTCTTTTGTGGTTTATACCTTTATTGCTTTAGTTAGTTTAGTGTTCATTTCTTTTTTTCCCAGTTAGCCAAGGCTTTTGACTCCTGCTATACATACACGTTCTTCCCCCCTCCTCCTCCCCAATCCCTCTTGACAATAAGGGAAGTTCCCAACGAAGCCTGTTTTTGTTGGGGTATGCCTACATCTACAAGCTTCAAACCTTGCCTCATTTGCCGGGAGTCCTTCCCAGTTAGTGATCGCCATTCACACTGTACATGCCACCTTGGGAGTATACACATGCCTGCTAATGTAAGTTCTGAACAACTTTCAAAAGTTGCTCTAGGAAGGGGGAGAGAGAGAGAAATAAAATTCCATCTTCTAATAATGGAGCACTGCCTCTGCCCGGCTTCGGATCCTTGTACAGCGGGCTCTAAGGGTATGTCTACACAGCAAAGAAAAACCTGCAGAGTGGGACGGTCCTAAAGCTGAGACTCCAGCCCAAGCCTGAAAGTCTACACAGCAATGAAACAGCCCGAGCCCTGCGAGCCTGAGTCAGCTGGCATGGGCCAGCCACGGGTTTTTCTTTGCTGTGTAGACATACCCTGAGTGACCTCAGTGCCCCATCATCCTCTGCAGTTCGTTCACCCTCTCAAGCTTTGAGACACAAACCTATTAGAGACACAGGGAAGACCTCATCTAGGGGCTGGTCCACACTAAGCCCCCAGTTCGAACTAAGATACGCAACTTCAGCTACGTGAATAACGTAGCTGAAGTCGAAGTATCTTAGTTCGAACTTAAAGGTACTTACCGCGGGTCCACACGCAGCAGGCAGGCTTCCCCATCGACTCTGCCTACTCTTCTCGCAGAGCAGGATTACCGGCGTAGACAGCGAGCACTTCCGGGATCGATTTATCGCATCTAGACAAGATGCGATAAAACGATCCCAGAAGAGCGATTGCTTGCCGCCGAACCAGCGGGTAAGTATAGACGTACCCTAGGAGATCCATGAAATCTCCTCAGAGAGAACACTGTTCTAAAAAGACCTGCTGCAGCAGAGGCCCCGTACTCCTCAAAAGATTTCAACAGAGGCTTCGAGTGAGTTCCGGTACCAAGACTTCCAGATTAAAGTCCACAAACTCATATAATTTGCAGGGTACCCATCACTTGGTACCAAAGCCACAGCAGCATTGAAGCATGAGCAGAGTATTAGAAATAAGGACACTGCACCTAAGAAGTTGGTACTACCTGCACTGACTGCTGCATCAGTACCTCAATTGGCAATTCCACCAGTGTCGATGCCACCTTCGGTATCACAGCTTTCTCTACCTCTTCACTAGCATCTTCACACAAGCCCATGTGGTACCGCAGAAGTTCAGATTCTCCAGGGATCTGTTTTTGTCTCTGATGAGCTTGAGTCTCCTTTACTGAACTCAGACTCCTGGTACTGCAAACCTGCATTATCTCTGGTACCCCAGGGATCGCTGGTACCTCTTGTTTTCCCACACAGTCATACCCTCACTGAACCTTCATCTTCTCCACCATTACACTATATAGATGAGAGCTCTTCAGACTCTCAAATATCAGTTCAAGACTCTCCTCACTGTTTACCCAGACCTGACTCCTGAAATTATTCAGCCCAGGGACATTTCGCCATCTCCATGACCGGGTGGTTCAACAATCTCCAGGGTATGACCAGTGCTAGATGCCTCCCCAGTTTTCTTTGGGGCCGCCTCAGTGGCCATACTGGGACCACTGAGCATTATAATCACCAGCAGTTTTCAAAGGCACCTATCATTCATGCGGAACACCAGAGACAGCATTCCCCACACTCATCCATTCCCCTTAGCATCATCGTTGCCGAAGGAAATGTTTGAGGAGAAAGAAAGAAGGACTGATAAGGAGCATACTCCGCAAACAAACGTACCATCATCCTCTCCAGATGAAGCGGTTATGCCCCTATTGCCTGTTGCAGATGACTTCAAAACAGTTCTGGACTTGATGAAGAAAGTGGCAAATACTTTCCAAATTCCATTAGAAAAAAATCCCAAAGACCTGCCTGTGAATACAGTGCAGTTGAAGCCTACCAACATGATTTAGCAAATCCCTGACACTGCCCCTGACAGCTCCAGAGGGCAGATAAAAAAATGCTACTCCCGGCTGGGGCTCAGTGTCTTTATTTTCTCATTCGACCCCCAACACCCTAGGAGTGGGTGCAGTTAATGAATGGAACAGACCGCACCATTCAAAAGCTACCCCACATGACATAGACCAGAAGTGTTTGCTTCACTTGGTTGCAAGAGTTATTTGTCTGCCTCCCAGCAGTTTAGAATTGTGAATTACCAGGTGATACTTACAAAACAGTCACGTAAACTATGTCAAATTTAATTATCTTATTGAGCATTTCCCACAAGAACACAGGGAGCAATTTCAGGCTGTGACTGAGGAGGGACAGCTCCTGGTGAGGATGACTTTACAGGTGCCCGTTGACACAGCTGATAGCGCAGCTTGCTCCATCTCCACAGCCACGGTCATGTGCCATGCATCGTCGCTGCAGTCCTCAGGCTTCCTGTGTAAGGTCCAAAATGCTGTAGAGGACCTCTCCTTCAATGGTCTCAAATTATTCAGATTAGTCCTTACATTCTTCTTCGAGCAGTGTCTCTGTGAGTACTCTGCATTCAGATGTGCACATGCCCATGGGCACTCTTGATTGGAGACTTTCATTAGCAGTGTCTTTGGGTCATGCCTGCACCCTAGACCTCCCTGCGCTCCTAGACCCACTGCCACTCCAGTTCCTTTTCAAGACTGACTTGAGATGGAGCATTGCTATGTCCGTTAGCTAGCTATGCAGCTTGCTACCTCACTCACATCATCTTTTCTTTTGGCATTTTCTTCTATTTTTTGTTATTTAGCACGGCATGCACTTTGGGGGTTAGTTTCCCCCTTCCCTTCTTCATTTGCCCGATATGGGTCTTTTTTCCCCCACCCTCTCAGGTCTTGGTCCACAGACTCAAGTGCAGTTATGCCCAAGACACCGGGATTCAAACCCTGCCAGACGTACCATGGGTCTTTTCCCCTCAGCAATAGTCATTGAAGCTGCCTGCTGTGCCTGGGAGAGACTCATGTCCTCTCCACATGTGAGATCTGTTCAGGTTGAGAAGCAGGTTCAAAAAGACTCCTGTTGATGGAGCACTCTCTGAGACTCGTGGGATCCAGTTCATCCCCTGGATCTTGGATCTAGTTGTTCAGAGCCCCGGTGACTGGCTCTGCTGTACAATAAGCAAAAGACCCTGAGGGCCCTTCACAACCATCCAGACCCTCTAAGAAGAAGAGATACCATTCACCAGAATGGGATAAAAGAAGTGGGAAAGTCATCTCCTCAGTCTAGGTCTCAGGAGACTTCATATCCTGATATGGGTAGCGCGGAGGCTCTCATCCCTTCCAGTTCCGAGATCATGGCACCAGCTAAGAAAACCATGCCATGTACCAAGAAAATGTCAGGTAAACAACTTATAACAGCATCAGCACTAGACTCATTGTCTTTGGAATACAAGGACTCCAGAGCCAAGCTGAAATGGT